CCTGACACTACCATACCCAACTTACTCGCGACTCTGCAATGTTGTGGGGAGCTATCCAACTACCATATTAACACCCAGAAGTCGGCAGCCCTGAACCTTACAATCCCACCCCCCATGCTGTCACGACTTTCGCTCAACTTTCCTTACCAGTGGTCCTCCACTTCGATTAAGTACTTAGGGGTTCTCATGCCCCGAAACTTGGCAGACGTGTACAGTTTAAATTTCCCTCCATTACTACAGAAGGTCAGGACAGACCTTCAAGGGTGGTCCCGCTCCACATTCTCCTGGAAAGGGTGTTGTAACATCATCAAGCAAAATATCCTTCCTCGCCTCCTATACTCCTTCCAAGCCCTCCCGATACTGCTCCCACAAACGTTCTTCCGTTCCCTGCAGAAATTGGTTTCTGACTTAATCTGGGCCGGCAGAATCCCCAGATTACGACAACCGATCCTGCGCCGCCCTAAGGCAGCGGGTGGGCTAGCTTTACCCGACTTCCACCTCTACTACGTAGCCTCTCACTTGTGCCGAGTGATCGACTGGTGCCGCCATGGAGACGTCAAGCCGTGGATCGCGCTAGAACAATCCACGACCGACATTCCTCTGCCAGCCTTGCCTTGGTGCAACGGGCCGGTCCCTAGGTCTGTCAGATCACACCCAACGGTGGGATCCACGTGGCAGGTAACCAGTCGGGCATTCACTAAGACAAAACTATCTATACAGCCCTCCCCCATGCAACCTATCATAGGCCACCGTGGATTCCCCCCAGGTATGGAAGACGGACTATTTCGTCGTCTCCTGGCCAGGGGCAAATTCAGGGTCCTGCATATTTTAAACGGTCCATCTTGGCAGGCGCTTGGTGCCCAATCCACCGATCCCGACCTTCGGAACTTGGGAATGTGGAGATGTTTACAATTGACTCACTTCCTGTCCTCCCTTCCAGCTCCCTCAACCTACTCGCGGAAACTCTCTACCTTCGAACAAACCTGTGCTGACACAGGACCAATAGTCAAAACACTATCCCTTTGCTACCAGCTAGCCCTTCGACACCGACCTAGAACTCCCGCTACACTTCATAGACCAATGGGAGCGGGAACTAGAGATCCAAGTCCCACAGACTGAGAGAGACAGATTGCTGAGATATTCCCTGAAGTCCTCCATTTGCAACAAATACCAGGAGCTGGGATACAAAATCCTCACGGGCTGGTACAGAACCCCCCATAAACTTCACCAGATGTTCCGAGATGTACCAGACGTGTGCTGGCGCTGCGGCTCCTCACCCGCGGACATGCTCCACATTTTCTGGTCCTGCCCCCTGGTGACCCCATTCTGGTTCCAGGTCCGAGCGATAACCCAAAAATTCACAGACCACGTTGTCCATTTCCACCGGCTTTCTTCCTCCTCCATCATAACCAATTCTCGCCAAAGAGTTACTCTAGATCAGTTCTTATCCACTTACCCAGGCCCAGGCTTGCATCCCATTGCTCTGGAGACAGGTGACTCGGCCTCGGTCAAGCTATGTTCTCCAAAATAAACGACATTAGACTCATGGAGGACCTCACCAGCTCCATCCGAGGCACCTCCTCCAGATTGTCGGCCTCTTGGTACTACTGGATAGACTATACCACCTCCACAGAATACCGCACTATCATGGATTCCTAACCTCTGGCACTGACAAGCTCTGAGAAACCCTTCCCCCATCATTTCAGCCCCCTTATCCAATCCCCCTCACGTGTCCTGTGTATCCCCCCGTTTGCACTTCACCCCCATCCCCCTCTCTACCCCTAATATGACACCACCAGCAACACCCCATGACTACAGTCCTCCCACCAATACCAGGGTAGGTTACTTGGTCCTGAGGGGCTGGTCCCCAATGATCTGCCGCTGTCGCCGGCCTCTCCTCAACGGCGAGACGACAGAGGCTACACTCCTCCCTGTGCGATAGTCATGGTCTCCTATACCGAACCCACCTTTCAGTTTTTTTTATGGTTGCACACACAAGTTGAGATGAGATCCCGACTAACTCCAATACCCTTGGGTTTCCGTGAGAGGATACCCTCCCTACATGTGTGCTATACTTACACCTTTGGAGATTTTTCTGTTTATATGTACCCTATATGTTAATTTCTTGCCGATGTCTCGATGTACATACCCCTTTCGTGCCCGGACCTGTGAGTCCATACGGGTACATTTTCCTGTTTTATGTAACAAATAATCTGAAAACTTGAAATAAAGAATTTATAAAAAAGAAAAAGTGACAGGAAATCTCTATAAAATGAAATAAAACCCTGTCTTACACAGTTGTCACCAGAACAGGTGGAGTGTCTCCATTGGATGATTTCTCCTCACCTCCTCTTCCAATGACAACTGAAAAACTGTTCATCCTATGTTATGGAGAAGAGAGGTGTTCTATAGATATGTCCTTGGAAGACAGCGCTGCCCCTCAATAGACACAGTACAATGAGAGAATAAAATACCTGAAAAAAAAGATAGCCAGTACATCGAATGCCCCAGAACATCTTCTTTCCTGTTCATCTTTACTATTCCTATTTTATAGGCACTTATTTACTCATTTGGGATAGATGAATACACTAGATATCTTTGGGGTTTCTCTACATATTATATTTTAAACACTAGAAAACCATGAAAGAAAATATGTAAACAAACTCCCGGCTGCTATTGCTGTGACTATCAGCCAGGAATTTGTTTACATTTTTATATATCTGTTTCCTGATCACCCCTTTGAGGAATGACACCAGAAGCACTCAGTTCTGATCACTTCCAGGTTAAGAGATGTCATTCCCTAACCTCTGTGCAGGGCTTATCCTATGTGATAGCAATAAAGTTCAGGTAAAAACAAGTTTTATAAAAGTTTAGGTTTGAAAAAGAAAATTCTGAAAATCCCCGCCCCCCCCCCCTGAAAGGAAAG